ATTTAATATTTCTTACAGTAGAAAATTAATGTATAAATTACTTAGCTTTTTATACATACATTTTCAAGGAAAATATGTGTTTAGTTTCATATGTATCATATGTAATAATTGTTCTTCCAAACTCAGCCAATGTTTAGTACGAAGGCTAGACAAGGGGTTGTGGTTGGTTTAACATGACATTGATATATTGAGCAATCACCTTCCTGAACCCCTCTTAGCAATTAGATCGGTTGTAATTAGCCAAAGTTCACTCATAAGAGGTATATTCTGTTGAATAATTAAACCAAACATGAGCTTCATAAAAATTCGCCTTTTTATAGATACTAAAATCTGTTAATAATTAAGTAACTGAAACGGTTGATATGAGCTAAGTTTGAGCAGAATTAGTGAGAATTATTTGATGATTAAGTAATATTTTTTCACCTGTTATTTCTAAATGCTCATAACATTTTTACAATACGTTTTTTAAATGTATGTTATTATTGGTTTGTAGAATACATTGCAGTTTTATGGTAATGCTATTTCTTTATTCCTTTTTATAAGATTTTAAACTGTAGAATTAAATGTTTGTGGTGTTTAATTTTAACTGGTAATGTGTACAGATTGTGGCAGTACAAATAGCATAAAGAAATGTTATAGTTCTCCTTAAGAGTCTTCATCAGTTGTAGCCATATTGGATTTTAGTCCCATAAGATCAATTTAAACTTTGTAACAAAATTTATAAGAAACCTGATGTGATATGATAAAATAATGACTGAGGTGTTAAAATTAAGGTTTAGTGGTCCTATAGGAGTCAAGATTTTAGTTTTGTTATTTTCCCTCCACTTAATAAGTTAATGATCATTAGCTAAGCCTTTAATTAAATAACTTATTAAGAAAAGACAAAAACAAATATTTTAAATATCTTTTCCTTACCCTACAAAAATAGTACCCTACAATATGAACCTAATTATAAATTTTCAAAACTATATCTTTATAAATAACATCGTCATGCTGCTTCAAATGATGGTATGTCCTGTCAAAGTTAACATCGCTTTTATGGGACTAAAATCCAATATGGCTACCAATGATGAAGACACTCAAGGAGAACCATAACATCTTTATGCTATTTGTAATGCCACAATCTGTACACAATGCCAGCTAAAATTGAACACAACAAACATTTAATTATACTAATTTATTTCATGAAATAAGAATATGCAAAATGGAAATATAAAGATCTTGGCTATAAGGTATTGCTAGGACCAATAAAATAATAATAAAAAAATAATATACAAAATTTTTCCTACAGTTGCCTAACAATGTACATGTTCTCTCACTGATTTGAGAAAGCAAAGTGGCCAATTCGCTCATCAGTGAGACAATGTTAACATTGTCTCACTCTAATTACTTTGTCTCACTCCAGATTTGCAACGTGAAGGCACGAAATAGTGAGCGCGTAACATGCAGGCAACGTCGTATGCGCACGAAATACGTTGGCAGCACTGGCTGTAAATCAGCTGGTCAGCTGTTGTACTGTTGTATTTGTCACTTCACATTAAATGTAATATTAAAAGTTCACTTCTGTGTAAAAATAGGTTATGTTTCTTCACCAATTTATTTGTTTTATGGTAACTGTAGGAAAAGTATAATTTGCAACTCGAGTTCAAAGTACAATTGCCTCACTCGAGAAACCATTCCTCACTCGTCTACGGCTAAGGATTTAGGATTTCTCTCGAGAGTAAGGATTTCTCTCGAGTGAGTCAATTGCTCACTTTTCTCACTAGTTGCACAAATAACTATTATTTAAATTTTATAGGAACACTTATTGTTTTAATATGTCTTCTAACCCAACTTCTATTTCATAAAGATATATATTTAAGGCATACATATTCGCGAAAGACTTAGAACTTTTTCATACAACATTTAAACATTTTTTGCCTTTTGTATTTAAAGAAATATATATTTTTGCCACAGCAAAGTAAATACAGCTTTAGTTAAACATCCCTTTTGTCGGCCGAACAAACTCATCTTGACCGTGTAAACATTGTCCTCACTGGTCTTGGAAACTCACGGTTAGAATTTTAATTAATCTTACAAAATATTTTACTTGAGTTTTTGTCGGAAAGTTGTTCTTTTAACTATTTTCCACAAAATTGGAGATTGTTGTTTGTTGTGGAGATTTTATTGTGCGTTTTTACAAAGGTTATTATTTGGTTCAGCTACTATGAGTGTACTATTACTATAGCTTATAGCATGATGTGTTTGGTTTGGAAAAGGGTTGGTCTATCCATCAAGTCAATCCATCAGAAAATTAATATAAGCAATTAAAATTAATATAACTCAATGCAGGATGAAAAAAATAATACTTTTTACATAAAACAAATGTGAATTACGGTACCGAACTTACAGTAAAAGAGTTAATATTACGAATTTACGACAAATTTTATTTTAATGATCCCCCTAGGCCTATTGTTAGTATGAGTTGTATAATATTTTTTTGAAAAATATAATATTTTTTACGATTGTTTAAAATTGACTTATTTATCGATTCTTATTAATTTGCGATTAAAATGGTAAATTATTTAAAACTTTTATTTGTATAAGTAATTTTCACAGCATTTTTAATCAAACCGAGATAATCAGACGAAAATACTATATAGCTTTTGAAAGAACAGCTAGTGTGTTTATAATAATCACTGTGGTGGCAAGGTACAAGATATTCATAACTTATAATCAAACTGTATGAGGTCAAGCTACATTTTACACCTGAATAAAAATAGCATTTTACAGGATGGAAAGTAATAGCAAGAGGAAATAAGCATTTCCATGAGCTTATCCTGCCGTAAAAACGTTAATTACTCTTTAAGTCAGGAGATTAATCTTTTCCCATATTTCCTCCTCCATTATCATTTGCTCTAATGTGCTTACAGTTTCTGGTTTGTTCATGGTTGAAGAACATGTAGACTGTTGTAGACAGTTCTATGAAAGCCCTACATTAAAATTATAAATTGTAAATATGAAAAGTTGTTAATATTCCTTCCTGAATATTAAATTTGGAGGAGGCAAAAACAACAAAAATGAAGAATTTGTTTATTACAACAATGTATGTATGCATTTGAATTGTACGGTTATCAATCTTTACTCATGACCTGAGAAAACTGAAATGTTTTACTAAACACGTTCATTTGCTTAAAAAAAAGTATTAATTGAAAAAGAGTATATTTTATTGAGAAAAAAAACTGTATTTCTTGCAAAACAATGATTTGTTCGATATGTCAGTTCTTATAAGTCTATCCAAACGAATCATGCATAAATTCAAACTTAGATGAATTTATAAGCTTTTGTATCCCTTTTTTCATTTTTTTACCACTAACATTGGAATACAATTTACGTTTGACAGAAAATATCCACATTGTTACATCGATGGTTCTATTCAAATTTAAGTTAGTCAGAAAAATCCAACAGTTGTTCATTGTAAATTACTCAACGTACTGTTACAATATTAAAACCCCCATCGAAATGTTACATTCGATTTACACAATGATTTACCGTCACTAAAGGTTCTAAGGACCGAAGAAATGACGAGGTTGTGGAGTTAGGAGATAATAAAGCCACGGGATTGGTTGAGGTCACGTAAATCAGTCACGTGTTCGTGACCACGTTGTGTCAATGTCGTTAGTCTTCTACGTGACGACTCTTCATCTCAGAACAAGTCTTCAGAAATTAGATTTTTCATCTTTGAAGTAGGCGAAGGTGAAAGTATTTACGTTAACCCGAGTAAACTGATGAGCTCTAAACAAATCAAGTGCATAAAAATCAACTAAATTTTTCAAGCTAACTCCATGAAGTGTATATAAGAAGATTTTGTAACAAAGGATTTAAATTAAGAGGTTTTTTTTTGTGGTTTTACTCTTAAATTGTCCTATACCAACAAATAATATAATAATGATATGATAATAAGCCAATTCTACTAGTATTTGGAAAGTTCTTAACCCAACCAATAGCCTTTGTGGAAACACAGATCAAAAATTTATTTAGAATAAATAGCCTCACAATTTTTGTATAAAGTAAATTAGTTTACTTTGCAAAATATTCGTAAGGGGCGAAGATTGTTTCTAACAATCAAATCAATAAAAATCTTTTTTGTTTAAATATAAGAAATGGCTTTATTGTTAATGAAACATAAATTCTAACTTTGATCAAATTAGCTTGATAAATACACTTAAATCATTCAAAACTAAGCTTACACATTAGACTAAAGCAACAATTTTCATTAACTATACCAGCAAAATACAAATGTATGTTTCTGATATTGTAAGAAAAAACTTTTATATCTGTCAACGAACATTTTTAGATGTTCAGATTAGAAAAAAGTCACCCACACAAATTCTTGGAAGCATTTGTTTGACATTGACTAATAAAATATAAGTTATATATTTGAAACATACAGAGTAATTAATGTGAATGTAATTGGTATACAACCAGATTGCTTAATCAATGCTATCGACAGGCGAATCTCCGTAGTGATGAATGTGGCACTGAATCCAACTATTCACCTGGTAATGACTTGATACTCATCGTGATGTGTGACCAACAAATGTTGGATGTGTGTTTATCCAATCAACTTTTTAAGACATCATAGAACCGTTGACTGTAAATCCTTATTTATCGGATTATATTATAATGTAAACCAGTTTCCTAAACTGTTTTAAAATAAATTATTTCATTATAAACATAGTTTGTTACAAACCTAAAACATTTTGTTAGAGCATTAATATCAACAAATGGGGTTTCCCTTAATACTGTACTTGTGAAAGTAACTCGAACTATTAAAAAATAACAACAACCAAACAAACGTTGTGATGTAAACAAAATAATAAAATTAACAATTGCGCAAAGGCTACTAATTAAATAAAACCTTAGACTTACACTGACGTAAAACATAATTTAAATAATTTATCACTTACAGCAATGTAAATTTTTTTTAAAGTTATTAACAAAATTTAAAACCATACAATCGACATCATCAATAATTGTCTGCTTTGTCTATAGGGTCTTCTATAGTGACATCGCATTTTCTCACAGGTTTCCAGGATCTCTCGTCATCGCCCATAGTTTCAATTCTCAGTTTCGGCGTAGTTTCCTTAAGTCGAAACGGTTCCATCACGTTTTTCAGTCTCGTACCGATGTCAATAGCGTGAAAAGCTTCTATTATGAGTTTATTCATTGGGTTTTCCAACGAAAGACCTGAAACAGATGAGTTTGAGTGTATGAGTGGGAATGGAAATGTTTCAGTAAATAACCAAAGTTTGTACATTTCCCTTAAAAAACGTTAAACAATGCTTATGAAGTTTACAGAAAATAAAAAAAATGGAGAAGCAGAAATGTGAGTTTTTTTTTCGAAAGAAAAAAATACGTCTAAAACACTCTTTAAACTCTAATGTTTATTTCTTGAGTTCCTATGCTAACGAACACAACGGACACACACATGTATAAGACATATATAAATACATTTGAACGGAAGGGTTTTTTTGCCTCTGGAGACATCGAAAAAAGACAGGAAATCCGTGTAGTAGCAGTTGCGCCGAGTAGCATTTGCGCCGCGGATTAAATCGTGCTTCCAGCGCCGCGGAGTTTGATTAGTTCAATGATGCAGAAGTGACGAGAGTCATAATTACTTACACATTACTTGACTGAGTTGCTTGTAAATAGTGTCGTTTTGCATACTCCTAATTAACTTGTACTAGTAGTGCACTATTGCACATAATAAATGATTAAACACTTGTATACCCCCACATGCAGTATTGAGTTAGTATAGATATTTTTCCTGAACTATAATTATTATAACCAGTAGACATTTTCTACTTATCAAATTACTAATTTAGGAGGAAGGGGGGCTTTTGTTTTCCTATGAAGTTTTTAGAGAATAGTTGCACCAGGATAGTCTGCGGTGCTATGTGGAATGCAAACAGCTCGGCATATTGGTATTAAGGGGATTTGCTAGGGGTATATATCCCCATACCTTTCGTAGTAACCCACTCCCTTATGTTACCTTTGGTCACTCAATGGTGTTGTCATTGTCAGTTTCGAGTAGAATTTAGCAGAATGAACATCGTAGAATCCACAAAAGAAGGGCTCAATTTTCAATCATTTCGTCTACTACAATTGACCTACTGTACAATATATCATCGATATGTCGCACAATTGATAAGAATGCAACAATAAGCTACAATAAAACCTTTCTGAAACCTCTAACCGAATAAATGAATCGATAAATAATTTCGAACCATGTAATTGCTTACAATCGACATTTACAACTGTTCACAACAGTTGACTTGTACTCCCTAGGGACTAAAAAGGCTTTTTACCACTGGTGATTAAAAACGTTATCCAGTATAGTTTAGATCCATATGGTTTCGTCTTTTGTTTGCTATGTAAAGGTGATCGAAGTGAAGGATCACGGGTTCATACATAAAACCCCATTATAAAATGGTTTTTCATAATTACAGGTTCTAAAAAAGTTAACCATGTAAATAAATCAATAACTTGAGGGGGGGGGGCAAGCCCAAAATGACACTTTTGCTATATCATAAGATGTACAAGGACACCTACATCGAAAACATTGGTTAATCAAAACGGGTGAAAAGTTATTTCACAAAAAACCTTATGGTATCAGGTACACAGTTTCATTGTGTGTTAACACTTAGCTAAACTAAACAGACAATACCCCCACCGCAGCAAACCTGCCGACTAAGCGAATTTCCATTTGTCTGAACGAGTACCTAGGTTAGCTGCTACGAGGAAACTATTAAAGTGGAGTTTTAGTAAAATGTGGAAAGCTTAGTAGAAAATAAATAGATTTGCCAAGTTTGATCAAAATATATCCATAAACAAGCCAACTAAAATTACTCAAGTTATCGCGTTCACGGACGTATATAAATCTATACAAAATGAAAAAGTAAATTGGTCACGGGCCTAGGTCTTACGGTGCCACCTACGGTAATAGCTACTTCCCTATAGGGAATTCGCTAAAAACATCCTTTTTTTGCGAATTTAACATTATGGTACAGAAGACGTAAGTATCGTTAATTATGATAAACATTTTGCTCTTCAAGTTTCAGTGATTATTAGTGAATAATTTTTAAATTAGCTTTTAAACAGTGTTTCAAAAATATCTTTAAGAAGACAGTTTTTATACCAATAAGTATTTTATACATTATACCTCTATGTCATTAATAATTCTCACAACTTAAACTCATCTAACCTCTAACCCCAAATATTCATTTTATTTGTTTGGTTACATGCCTTTCCATAAAAAAACATTGGTATGTTTATGGATGACAAAAGCTTCCAAATTAGTATTGGACTTACATTAGGTTGTAATCTCTGCCGAGAATTTCAGTGTGTCTGTGGTGAAATCGTAGATAAGAGGGGTTTACACCCGTTATCCTGTATCAACAGTTCTGGAAGATTTTTCCGACACGCTGAAGTTAACAATCTGATAAAAAAAGCTTTGGTGTGTGCTGACATCCCAGCCCAACTGGAACCCACAGGTCTTGACCGAAATGATGGGAAGCGGCCAGATGGAGCCACAATCATCCCCTGGAGCAAGGGCCAATGTCTAATCTGGGATTTCACTTGCTCTGATACTTACGCAGTAAGTTATATAAATCAAACAAAAAAGCAATCCGGAGCAGCAGCTGAAATGGCCACCCAGAGAAAACATACAAAATACTCTAATATTACGTCAAAAGGATACCAATTAATTGTCCTGGGTGTGGAAACTGCTGGGCCATGGTGCAAGGAAGGCAAGAACTGGGTAAATCAAATAGGCCGCAAGCTAATAGAAAAAACAGGCGACCATAAAGCAAGGAGACACTTAATACAACGAATTGCCATGGCCATACAGAAAGGAAATGCCGCCAGCATAATTGGTTCCACACCCACAGACGACGACCTTTCATCAATATTTTATTTGTAAAATTAATGTAAGAATTAAATTTGGTCTATCGTTAATTTATTTATATTATACCTATATGTGTAGGTAAATAACAACAGGTTTCATTCCGATATTGGTGGTTCGTAAACTTAATCAAGGTGATTCAACCTTACACATTCATGCCAAATTTAATCAAAATCGCACGAGAAGCGATAAGCACAGGCCGGGAGCACGCCCGAGTTCACGTGCAAACCTCGCACTGTCAAGTTGATGATTTTTAAAATATTCGTGGGAATGGATGGGGATTTGTAATGTTTATTTAGTTGTACAATAGTATTGAACATTTGCATGGGCTTGTATAGGCTGAAAGCAGGGTCATTAGAAAATGGCTAAAAAAACTCACCCATGTTATTCTTATGGAGAAAAAGTGCCTAAAGTGAGGTCATATTACTATATTATACCTACTGTACTTTACATTTAATGGGTCAGTAAATGAAAGAATTAGCTTTTTTAGCTTGATTTCGAATATAGTACATGAGGATTATATGTAGGGGATATGTAGGCAAAGATCAGGATTTTTGGAATTAGTGGCAAAAAAATGATCCCCATTTTATTTTTATGGTAAAAAACGCCTAAAGTGGGGTATCTTTGTGGTATTGCCACTACACGTTTTAGAGAGTTATTCTGTAAACTTAATATGTACTTGTATTTCTAGACTTAAGATAAACTTAAATTGATATAAGGCCTGTCTCAACTCCCAGGCTTCCCGAAGCGCGATGTATTACTACCAAACCTGGTACAGAAACAAACTTTTTTTCGTAATTTCCTCTCTTTTGAGTTATTGGCAATTAATTTGTTTTAGGTAGCCCTTATACTGAAACGGCGGAGTGTACTGTGTATTGTTGTCAACCAGTGAACGATATGTGCAGATATTTTTGGTGGCATCGATTTTGCAGTTAGGCCTATTAGATTTAAAATTATGTGTAACCATTAGCATGGGTCACGAGGTGACTGCATGCAACCACTTTACGCTGAAAGTAAAATTTGGTAGGAACATAAGTCCTCAATAATCCTATTAGTGCAGTTGATTGGTTCCGCCATTGTTAACCTGTCAAAACTGCTAACCCTCATTTAATTAGCTGGCGCGGCGCTGGTGCTACGCGGCGCAAATACTACTCGGCGCAAATACTACTCAACCCAGGAAATCGGCCCCGGGTCTAGGTCTTTCCGTACCACATACGGCAATAGCTTCTCGATGGGGAAATCACTAAAACTGGGAATCCAGCTACAACTGGGCAATATTGATGCCCAAGTCTTATTATTGTCTTAATATTTAGAGAGAAGGAGTTAACACAGAAAACTTTCATGTTAAATTAAAATGCCCTGTAATATTCAAGCTAAACATATACGTTTCTATATAGTTTATGTAAGAGTAAAGCTCTTGTTAATGTTAGGCTAGTATTTACTTATATGTAGTTTCAACTGCACCTACCTCTATGGTCACCTATGAAGGCAATCTCAATACTGTTGTCATGAAAAGTTGGAAATACTTCATTCAATTCTGGCCTCAAGTCCCACCCCCTTCCTTCGTAAATCTTCAGGTCTCCTCCAATGACAAAACTAAACATTGAACAATTCGCATTTGGTTGAAGGAAAAATTATTTAATAACACATACCTTTTTATCCATGCAATATGTTACAAAATAGTGGTTATAGCGTTTATTAAAATTAAGATATTTTTTGAAGAAAACGATATAAACATTTTAGTTTTCTAACACTTGTATTAGGGTCAAAATCTCCTAAAAATAAAATGATTGTCTCAAAGATAAACAGATCATATTAGTATCATAATATTAGGGTCATAGTAAATTCGTATATTATGACAATAAAATTCCAATTTGAACCAGTACGAATAATAGTAACCAAAATTTATTTCAACAGAATCAGGATAAATTCTTCATTTATACGTACCAATCAGGCCCCATAAACTTTGTAGGAATTTTATATGATGTTTTGTTCATTAGATTATCTCACCTATTCCTTTGTCTAAGTCTCTTGCTAAATAATTTAACGTATAGTTCGAGTAGTTGTATCGAATTGTCCAGAGCAGAAAACTCCTTTGTCTTACAGAGTCATTTTAAAAGTCAGGACAAGTTTTCAAAAGACTATTAATACATGAGCGTCTGCAGGATTTCCTGAGCGCTTCTATATCTCTGCACCTTTAATAAAATTAAAATATTCAATCAGTCAAAACCGTGGAGCTATCGACACCTAGATTTTATCAGCTCCTTCACCGGGGAAGGAATTTGAGTGTGGCTGGTTCTATGGGTAGGCCTAGCATTTTTTGTGAATACAATTTTATCCCCCCTCAGAATTAACATCACAATTTCCCACGTAATCTACTATTCAAGAGTTTCTTACAAAGCAAAGTCTACCCACCGCAGTCTCCTTACTTGTAAGCAATGTCGGGCAGGCCTCGAGCTATGTGTAACTCCTGCATCTCTCGCATGATCCTCTGACAAGACTCTTCGCTGTCGCAGGCATCTGTCTGAGTGTAGTAGGTGAAGATGACGTTCTCCACAGGCAGGGAGGTTGCCGTCATAGGGGGGTGCTGGGCTGCGGGTCTCGCTCCCCAAACTGACCTGGGGACGATCTCACGGTCGTATCCTTCTACTTTCGGGACCGGCCTGATTGGTGGCTGGCGATACGGGTTATATTTTTTGTCCCTCCTCTTCGGCATTTTGAAATTTTGTTATCTGTAATCGTACAATTTACTTATTTCAATTGGGTATAAAGCTTTGGAAAGGGTTTGAGTAGGTGGGGAGGATGGGTTAGGGATGGAAATGTTGAGATCGAATAGAAAGGTATGCATTAAACATTTTATAATTACACGGGAGGGTATGGTTATGAATAAGTATTTATTTAAATAAACCCTAAAAGTGCAAGCGGTAAGATTTATGACGGGAAAACCACCACAGGTCTAACTAACTAGAACTAATGTAATGTTAACTGATGTAGAATTTGCATTCCATGTCATAAATAGCCTACTAGAGTTGTTATTGTTTTAAAACGGGTTAAAAATTCAGTTATCCATAAAAGTTAATTATTCAGAAAGTTTTACTGGTACTACAATTTTGGGTTGAAAGAACCTATCAACCAACAAGTGTGGTAGGTTAGGAGAAGTAATGGTAGGGTAGGATAGAATGGTATAGAAAAATAATTATACCGACTGAATGGCTTTGAAAATATTTATTTGCATAAATTATAACAGTGGAAACAGTGAAAATAGAACCAAACGACTTCCACTCGAGTTAACCTGTGTGGAAATGTATTTTTTTACTTTCTCGATAAAAACAAATATGATATTTGTTTAAATAAAGAGTTCGTAAAAAATCTAATGAATACTGGAATTATTTACTCAGTGGCCTTTTTGTAGTTATATAATTTAAAATCACATAGCTTAAATTACATTTATATTTAGGATTTAGTGACATAGTCTTTTGGGGAATTCGATATATCTATAATTTAGTATTACTTTTAAATAGAGCTCTGCCAATAGAGTACGTCTGGAATAGGATGATTCTAAATTATTGTTACACTGTTGAATCTCTATAAATGAAAAAAAGAAAAAACATAACTTACAACCTATCATCACAGGGTGAGAATAAATTGAAAGAAGGGATTATAAAGTTTTATTTGACCCAACTTAAGTAAATTTAGTTGCAAAATTATCCCCTACAGACATTTAAAATTTTAACTACGATTTTAAATTCTTTACACACTTTTACCTCTTTGAATATAAAAAATTCAAACTCTATGTTGAATTTTCAAAAGTTAATACCACTAGGGGTCAATTAGTTCTATAATTTACCACTCAGTTAATGTTGTTCACCATTATTGTAAGCTGCGAGGAACATGACTTCAAAAGAGCAAAAAGTGTTCTGTGTTTTAGCGTTCACAGATTTTAAATTGTATGATTAATTTAAAATCGTAGTTAAAATCTAAAAATGTTTGCAAAGGTTAATTTTGTAACTATGTTTACCAAAGTTGTGTAAAAAAAAAACTTTAGAATGCCATCTTTCAATTGATTCTCATCCCGTGATGATAGGTGTTATAGCTTTTAATTTCTAAATTTTAAAAAGTGTAAAAATAATTAAGTATCACCCTGTATAGTATTTTTATTACATTTCCTCGAATCGATACAGTTCGATTCAATTTAGAAAGTTTCAGAGGCTAGTTAAAAATTATAGTTTTGAAAACTATTAAAGCTGAATAAAGTATTAAAAGAGTACAATAATGGATCAGATAAGTCGAATCAAAAACTGAAATTGTATTACAAATAGGAAGATAGACTTTACCTACCGTTTAGAAAACAATTCAACCCAAAAGTAGTAAGACAACTAGTCAATGTACAAGCAATAGCATCAAAACCAGTATGTATTAGTTATCTTCTAACAATGCTAGACACTATAGCAATCAATATTAACCCAGTAGAACAAATACAAGTGACAATTGTCGTTGCTAACCACATCGGAATCTTCTTCATGATTGATCACTATGTGATTGAAAGATAAATTGTTTGTGTGTTTATTTAACAATTAAGCCGGAATATTACGATTATAACAATGTGTGGTGATAAGATTACGCAAATTTAAGTTTTTTTGTTATTTGAGCTAGCAGAGATGCAGACAAATTACTAGTATAAACAAAACACGACCAAAGTAACAAATCTGTACTCTTCATCTTATTGTCACTCTAATATTTTACAATAAATTTACAACTTTACATTTTACAATAAATTTACTATTTACATTTTACAATAAATTTACTTTTTTGCATTTTACAATAAATTAACAATTCTACAATTTACAATAAATTTCCATTTTACATTTTACAATGGATTTAAAACATTACATCTTACAATAAATTTACAATTTTGCACTTTACAACAAATTTACAATTTTACACTTTACAATAAACTTACAATTTAAAATTTTACAATTTACAATTTTACAATAAATTTACAATTTACAAATTTACTCTGCACGATGTTTATCTGGGTTTCGTAGACGAGCTGGTGGGTCCTGGAGCACAAGGACTCCCAGATTTTTAAGGCCCTTTGGAAAATTGTTGTAGAGCTTGGTGCTGTTAAGGTTGTAAACATAACAAACAAAATTAACTAAACATGCAATTGTTTGTTGTATTCTGTTGAGCCTTTGTGTATAATGAGCTCTGGTTTGCAATAGTATATCTACTTTCATCTAGAAGAGGTAATTTTTATAGTTTATTAGGGTTTTATTTTGATGATTGTTTTCATAGGTTAATTGCTCTACATATTAAAACTGTTTACCAACAAAGATGAAAACCATTGTTTTACTTCGAATAATTACCGTGCCATCTCAACCCTTCAGCACGTAAAGAAAAATTTTACAAAATTTCCTTACTTTTGATATACAAATTCACATAACTTTGATAGAAAATAAATAATGTAAACCTCGTCCATAAATGTATGATACAGTAATATATAAACTTATATATAAAATTGTTTGGATAAAGGGCTACTTATTATAAATATTAAAAAAAGCATATTAACTCAGTACCCTGAAATTATTTTATATTTTTTTACAACAAAAAAAGGTCGAAACATGTAGAGTTCTCAAGGTACTGAGTTAGTATGCTTTCTTTAATATAAACTTATATATAATTAGTGGATTTTCCGATTCTTTGAACGGGGTGAGAAATGAACAATAGATATTTTAAAAGCTTCTTAAAATAGAATGCCACCTTCAGCCGTGGGATTTTGTTACCACATATATACAAAACAATGTCGTTTTTGCACTTAAAAACGATGTCTATAAACTTCATAGATTAACAATATAACCAGAACAATTGAAATGTGTGGTTATTTTTTCTGTTGACAGTGAACAAGCCTATAACTATTTCCCTAAGTGTTAAAGAATTTCCTAAGTCCTCAGAGTAGTAGGTTGATATTGAACGGGAATAGTTCTATGACAGTCCGGTGTAGGTAGATATTCTTTTCCCAAAATGTCAACTTAATTGATTAACAAAATTGGTGCAAAAAATGAGGACTAAATTTTACAACAGCTTTTGTACTTACAAAAATCTGTTGACGGATCAACTAAAAAGTTCTTTTTATTATAAATACTTAAATACTTTAATACTTAATACTTTGATACTTTCTGATTAAATAACCACCATACAAAAAAATCTTAAGACTATCAAAACTTAAAAATTTAAATTTAATAACTATTTAGGCAGTATATCTATTCTACATTATCATACATTTACGAATACCTCCCTAATAAGGTAATTAACTCACGAATAAGGCAAAAGGACAATTTAAAATAATGCTAATTGCCTTTTAGGCTCAAATTATCACGACAAAGCTAAGTCATAGCAAAGTAAACTTTGCTGTATATATTTGACATGTTATTAAAGAATACACTACTTGTAGGCCTACGCCATTAATGGCCTATACAAAGCGTGCTCTGTTTATAGTAGCATTATTACTGTACCAAATACGAATATTTTCCTTACTTATTCTTCGTCGAAGTTGAGTTTAACATGGCTCTCCTTCAACTTGTATGTGCTTGCGATGTATTTGTCATGTATACTGTTTCCCACCAACTCCAAAGCCACTTTCGCCAAACAGTATGGCAACACTTTTTCTGAAACAAGTTCAGTATTTGATTAAACAATACATGCATTATTACGTAAACCTATTTATTTCCTGACGGGTTAGCCTCTGGATCGTAAATTGCAATATAAAAATGGTTTATTTTACCTCTTTGCGTCGAACGATCCGTGTGTAGTTAGTACAACTACAGCTGTTTCATACCACTAGGGTACATCATCAGGTTGTTGGTAGAACGTTAGATAAAACAGCATTCATTCATAGATGAACTTGTCGAAATAAATATGTCTATATACATAAAATACACGAAAAACATTTAAATAACACGAATTTACGAACTTGGCCAAGTAACGAACACACGAGACAGGTGCCGATGGATGTTGCGTCATGACTGCTATCGTGTGTCCAAGCATCAGCTGTTACCCCTCCCCCCCAACTCCTTTATCAGGACCAGTTTTGTTTTGGTTTAAATGAATGACAGTATTGTAGATGATGTTAGATCTGAATGAAATTTGTTCGTTCAATATATAGTCAGGGTGTTCTTTGGATGCCTTGTATATTTCGAACTCCTCTATTGTGTCCATGTATCTGCCTTTAGTACATAAATGCATAATTTCTAGATTACTATGTATGTCCGTGTAGTTGTGGTTTGCGTTAATTATGTGGTTGGTGAATGCTGACTTCAAAAATGAAAAAATGAAATGTAATGATTGCCCGAGCTTTTACATCGGCCAAACTGCTCGCTCTTTCGCTACTAGGTTAAAAGAACACATACCCAAAAAGAACTCGAAGTCAGCATTCGCCAACCACATAATTAACGCAAACCACAACTACACGGACATACATAGTAATCTAGAAATTATGCATTTATGTACTAAAGGCAGATACATGGACACAATAGAGGAGTTCGAAATATACAAGGCATCCAAAGAACACCCTGACCATATATTGAACGAACAAATTTCATTCAGATCTAACATCATCTACAATACTGTCATTCATTTAAACCAAAACAAAACTGGTCCTGATAAAGGAGTTGGGGGGGAGGGGTAACAGCTGATGCTTGGACACACGATAGCAGTCATGACGCAACATCCATCGGCGCCTGTCTCGTGTGTTCGTTACTTGGCCAAGTTCGTAAATTCGTGTTATTTAAATGTTTTTCGTGTATTTTGTGTATATAGACATATTTATTTCGACAAGTTCATCTATGAATGAATGCTGTTTTATCTAACGTTCTACCAACAACCTGATGATGTACCCTAGTGGTATGAAACAGCTGTAGTTGTACTAACTACACACGGATCGTTCGACGCAAAGAGGTAAAATAAACCATTTTTATTTATTTCCCTACAGGAAATTAGCTATTGCCGTTTTTATTAAACATTATGGGCCAATGCTACTGCAATACTTCGTTCTTTAGGATCCAGAAGCAAAAAATATAGTTTGTAAAAATGTGTATAAATTTATTTTCGATATATGTACCGTGCACGATTTTGTTTGTATTGGGTCTAATTATATATTTCTTGTAATTTTAACATGTTTCATTATAAGTAAGATGGAACTAGAATGAATCCAATTATTCACTAATGCAGATAATATACTGGTTTGCTGCAGTGGATGTTTTTTTTTTATTTCGGCTATAGCAATTAATGCTGATGTGGACTGAACATGTTAGGTTTTAATAAATGCAAAAACTTTGAATTACTAAATTCCCTTACTTTCCCTGTTCGAAGGAAGTATTAAATGTTACCATTTTGGAAAAACACTTTCATACTCGTTTGTAACTTAAACTTGACATATCTAACATTAAACATTTCTGTACCCCCACAAGAATCTCTTACAATGATTTAAAGTCTTAGAGTTAAATTATAACTAAAAAGTGAACATTCACTACGTTTGTCACGGACTCAAAGACAGTTAAAATCCATATACTCCTCAGTAGTCTGATTACTAACAATAGTAAGTAATAGTAACAGTAGTACTAGCATACTACTACAGTAGTACCTAGTAGTAACAAGTAGTACAGTAGTAGTAAGTATAAACTTACTTGTATAATCACCAATGAAAGCGATCTCCACAAACTGACCATCGATCTCGGGATGTTGGGAGTTCTTCTCTGGTTGATTGAACCATCCTCTGCCTTCATATACTACCAGATCACCTCCAATTAGAAAACTAGAAAACGGTTATTTATTTTTAACGAAGAAAATCCATTCGCAACAAACATGTCGGTTTTTTTTATTTATGTGGACTAAAAGTACGAAATATTCTGAGCCCTTAGATTGTAGTTTTGTTATTAAGGGTGAATGAACTCAAAGCACCTTCCGGGAGTCTTACGTTCTGCGTAAGGCACTTGACGCATCTTAATAGATACATTTACTAAAGGCTCTTTATACTGAAACGGTTAAATTATTCAGTTTTAAACAAAACATTGTGTGACTACACAGGGCATATAACATGATAACTACTGAGTAATTCAGGTATTTTGGTGTTTGTCGATATTTTAGAGTTCACAACACACTATTTTAATCCTTACAAGTTTGTTTCGGTTAAAAGTTTTTTATAAGATTATTTTATAATAAATCTAATTGAATTATCTACACTGTGGGAATTGAGAAGCTACACAAAACCTCTCAATCCATTACACTCTACATGATTTTTTCACCTAAATACACACTTAAACAGTGACAGCTCATCCTTAATAAAAAATATAAAAAAAACATAAGAAGACAAAATGATTTTTATTTATCTAATGATAAAACAAAGTTGATGATTAAAAAGCTATCGGAAAAGTTTTGTTTTAAGTATAAAACATGTTCACTTTACATAAACGCATGTGGATCAGTAACACCTTGTCAAATTTAATAACAAAACTAAACTTGAGACTGGCCACATATAATGTCTTATCACTAACTTGTTTAATACTTTAAATTGAAATGGCAGGTTGGTATTTTAAGCTAAGTATGAATGGAGATGAGTGTAGGATGAGTCATGTTTATGAGTCTTGTTACTGGCTAAGGCCGACATGTTCCTTAGCCAGGACTGTTAATTAATAGCCCAAACAGCCAATGGCAAATAAGGATAATACAACTTAAAAACACTAACTTGTAAGCGATATCCGGAGCTCCTTGTTCCATGTGCCTCTCCTGGATCTCCTTCAGTACTCTAACACAAGACTCCAGGTCGTCACAGGATGGCGTGCCCGTGGTGTAGGTGAAGAGGACGTTGTTCACAGGATGGACCATGACAGGGATGCTGGAAGGGTCATGAGGAGGTCGAGCAGACCACTCGGACCTGGGTACAACCCTTAGTCGAGGCTTGACGGGGGACGCCATTTTAACTATGAAAAAGTTGTTGTTTATACACATAAAAAAAAATTATGTTCGGTTTATTGTTTGCTTTTATATAAAAAATCTTCTCGATACATTAAGGGAGTTTGGAATATCCTTGTATTTTGAGAAAACAGTCTTACGTTCCTTTTTACACAACCTACGTCAAAGTAAAGGGTAGTAATATTGATAATTCTGCAAAATATTACTTATATTGACATGACACTGATGTGCCCTGGTAGTTATCTCCTCTGGCTTCAGAAAGCGACCTATTAGATTCTTGACATAGGCCTATCTAAAAAACTAATGATTTGTTTTCACCAAATGTTCCTTAAGTGTTTGTGATTCTGTCATATAAATTGTTATTAGCACAGATATTAAGTAACAAAGGGTATATAACTTTAAGACTGTTGTAATCTAATTTAAACTGTGAGAATCCAGAATCAAACGCTTGACATTGCTTTAATGATTCATAGAATTGCCAATAAATTTAAATTAAAAGCATAGCACACAATGCACTCGCAATAACATATATATATATATATATATATATATAACCGGCTAGAAGTATACTCTTGAAAATAATATTACCTTTAATTCACTTAGGAGTATTTTTTGTAATCTAGTTAAGACGCAACTTGTCATTCCAAAATAGTATATCAGATATCGGACTCCTTTTTCTTTCTTCACAAGCACTCAAAATATCATTTATGTTTCACAGTAGAAAATCTAAATCTAAATCTACGTACTAAGATATATTATCTACGTGTTATCACAAAAAAATGTTAGTAAACAGAACAAGCAGAAAAATATTGCTTTGTCAGTTGTATTCTACTACCGAAGCATTGCAGTTTAAGAAATGTGCACAAAGTCAAAGCAAACTCGGTGGTTTTGTTATCATTGCTATAGGGGGGGGGGGGAGTGAAGTGATAGGAATGCCATTTAAAAAATAACATAGTCCTGGCCATCGATGTATACAGTCTAGCCTATATAAGTTAGACTATATACATCGATGGTCCTGGCTAATAATAACATGATCCTTCCATCATATTACCAATGTTTATGTGGGGATTTATTAATAAACTAAAAACAATGAATCGCATGTAATTACAAATTGTTTTCAATGGTTTCAAATATAATTAAAAGATGCTTTTGAAAACTAATAAAACCTTATTATAAACCCTTTCAATGAAGATGTTAGACAAATATTAAATTAAATTGTGTTCGACACGTCTCAGTAGTATATATTCAATTTGTCAAACTAACACCAGAAAATATGTTAAATAGGAATTAATGTTAGTCAAAAAGTGAAAATTAAAAGGAATTATGTCATTTCACTTGCCAGCACTTGGATGTTCATTCGATTGCTTAAATCCACGTCAATGTCAATCACCGTCTCTCGGCGTTGACTGGCAGCACTGTAAATTACATTGTGCTTCCGTTCGAAGTAGTTACATGGTTTTTATAGGATCAATTTTGAGTTAAAATTCAAACAATGATTATTTTATTAGAGATGGTTTTGTCTATTGCAGTATTGCTCCTGTAATTGTTTGGCAAATAGTTCTACTTGCAAAACTAGAACCATTATTTTCTTACCCAGTAAATACCTAAATGTAAATTAGTCACTTTATTATAAGTACAGTAATCAAACGATCAAGGTTTAGTTGAAGTTATTTAATTTTATACAGCGATAGACTGGGACCGTGGCGTCGTCCTGTAATCAAACTTGGAGGTCATGAATAATTGTGGATATTTATAGGCATGCACTGTGGATGTGATACTCTGGTGTGGCTTACCGCACTAGTGAGTACTACGACTATCCGCAGTACTATCCTCATAACCAATTTGTAAATTACAAGGCCAAAGTGGTTCGGATTCCACTCTGTAAGTCCCTTAGTTGCCATTGCGCTGTATGGCTGTATGGGCTATTCATTAACAGCACTGTCTAAAGAACATGTCGGCCGTAGTCATGAACAATCCTTTTAGATCACACCACTCTTTGTCGATATATAAGAAAATTTTAAAATTAAATTAAAAGCTTATTTTAAAACTGACTAAAGCAGTTCAGTAACATACCACCTTCCATTATCTATACCGGTTGGCATTTTCATTATTTTTACCAAAAATATGGGATAGTGCTCGTAGTGTACAGACATATCCAGACACAGCTATCTACAAAACGCAGTAGCCAATCACAGAGCTCTGTTTAATGTGGTACTTCAGAACATCCGTACAAACAGCAATATAGGGTTTCAAGTGCCTTTAGGTGCATCTGCATTGAACTGACTGCACACTAGCCACAGGCCAACTGAATAAAAATAGGTTTTTGATGGATGAATATTTACTATAAATGGAAATTTACAGTGTAATATACCAATCTAAGTTACGAACACACCTGTAGTGTGCCTATGTTATCTACTAACTTAAAAAGGTAATGTCCAGGTAAATGAGAAAATACTGAACCAACTATAGAGACATTTTACATAAAAAGTCAATCTTGAATCCGTGAAAAGTTTCTTGATTTTGGCATAGCTATAACACAGGTTTGGTAAAGTCGAGAAACTATTCACCGATTAAGCAAAAACTGGTCAATGAGTACCAGTATTGTTTAAGATAAGCTTTATATTGGGTATACAGTAAGTTAAAAACTCTGTGGTTAAACACCGTAGGTGCATTATTAAAACAGAAGAAAAGCAATAGAAAAGAATCAAAAACAAAAAAGTTAAAGGAAATAAATGGAATATAATACAAGAAAAAGCGTAATAATGTAGATAGGACAAAGTAAAAAGGCAATAAAACAATAAAACTTAAGAAAGATATGAATAGGCAAGAAAAAGTAGTTCTTGATGTGTGTATAATAATTTACCTTAAAACTCTACCCAAACTTAAAAATTTATTTATTAATTTAAGTTAGAGTATACAGCACAATATTATAGGTTATTTATTGCCAAACATCAAACGACACTTCACATGCATGGTAATCAGAGTATCACTAATATCACAGACATATAAAATAGACATAAAATATAATGCACACATATAAAAAAGACAATACAATATTCATACAATTTAGGATCACCAAGCGAATGTCTCTTCTTCGTCCACTTCTCGTTTCATAGAGACGTAGCCTTTGTCAATAAGACCTTCTTCCATTCCGTAATAGACCAACTGAAAACCTGCGTCCATCATTTTCATCATCATAGCACGATCTGAAAACAGCAATGCTTGGATGAACTGGAAGGTTATGCTTAACATAAGAATATTTACAATCTTTTGACTATCGATGGATTACTTCAGCTGGTAAAGATGAAATTTTTATCCCAAGGGTGGTCTCGAGTTTCATTATGATTGTAGATAGTAAGAAACGGGCCAATAAAATGAATCTATTCGGAACTATATTGTACTTTATATATACTAAAAATACTTTGAATTTTATGACATAAGAGGTTTGTAAACTCACATTTAAGGATGTTCTGATGTAAAAAAACTTGCTATATAGTATGATTTAGTTCGTTGTAATCCCTAATTTATAGAGATATTAATTTATCATCCAAATCCTCATTTAAGGCTGATTATTTATTAACATAGTAGTTCCTCAAATATGCGATTGAAGTTTTACTATCATAATATGTCAAATACGCAGCAGAAAACTTGCTGACTAAGCGCATTTTCACTTGCCTGATTGGATTTACACTAAAATGTCTCCTTAAAAATGTTACATTTATTCCCTATTTAAACAGCAGTTTAACGAGTACTTAGGTTTGCTGCAACAGAAGGGTAAACAAGTTTTTTTTATGTTAATAGTTTAGTATGAAATAAATGCATTTCTTAAATTCGATCACAATATGTCCATAAACAAGCAAACTATATGGTCCGATCATGCTGGTTCACGAACTCGTTCGAATACATGTAGGTTTATATGTTTATACAAAATTTCATTAAAATTGGATCATTTTTGCTCAAATTATCTTGCTAACGGACACATGTATATGAACGGATGGTGTTTTTGGCCTCTAAGGACCGTAATACGAAAAAGTAAATCGGTCCCGGGTCCAGGTCATACTACGAGTACTACGGTAGTAGCTAATATCCTTATATGGGAAATTCCTAATGGTAACAGCCCTATATAGGTAATTCGCTAAAGTAAGATCATTTACTAACTTAGTTTACTAAATCAGCCTGATTGTTTATAATTTCGTATCCAATAAACACATAGTTTTGCCGAATACAAAAACTACTTTTTAGTGCTCATTACATTCCTACGTTAAAAATAAGCAATTTATAATGGAAGATAACTTTGTTCAATCCAGTCCCCAACAGATTTTCTGGCAAAAATTTAAGTTCTCCTTTTACACCAACAATTCGAAACAGCTGTAAAAGCTCTTGTATTTACTTACCTGACTTAACACCTGATTTCGGAGCGAAAGCAACGTCTATGCAGGAGTGTTTGGTTTTCACAGCTGGCTTGTATTTCCATCCCCTCCCTTCATAGACTAAACCATCACTTGTGATTATAAAGCTGTAAAAATTACCAGTGATTAAATAAATTCACAAAATGAAAATGCTCTTGATTTAAAAATAGGTTCTTATAATAGCTTATATAGCTTCTTATAAAAATAGGTTTATCGTTTTCGTTAAGCTCAGATCTAAAGAATTTTTTTTCTGAAATGTGTAAGGCCTTTACTTTATATTATTAGTAAAGTGGTTTTCAAAAATATATAGTGTTTATCCATAATTATAGGTAAACAGTGACTATTAAACAATAAATAAGTCAAACAAAATGTTTTCACATTGATTGATTGATGGAAAGAAAGCGTTGGACTCATGATTCAGGAACGGCAAAAATATCTTTGATTGCATCCTGCACTTGACACTTACTGGGCAACCCCCCAGTTGAATAATAAATAAGAAAAAGTAACGAAAACAAATAATGATGCATCAGGTGAAATTGCTATATTAGTTTTTTTCATAAAAGCACAATTTACTCAAATAAATTCCAAGCTAGGGGTGGGCAAATAAGAATTTAGTGGTTTAGTTATGTTTACGTTTACCAAGCGAACCAACAAGTCTCCAAGAGTCGTTTAAGGGGATCAAAGGGGTAGAATAGTGTAGGGAATTCCGAAAGATAACAGAGACAAGGAGAGATCTATACAATATGAGGTAATCCTCATACAAATATTAAGGAGAGACTAGTAATATTTTGTACCTAGGATGCCAATAAGTATAAGGGAGAAATATCAACTCTCCACTCCTATTAAAATAATAATATATAGGATATCCTATATATATAGGATCCTATTATAATATATAGGAGAAAGTACTACTCTCACAATTTTTGTGTTTGAGTTTTGGGTCCCAAGAATAAAAAAAGGTTTTCGTAATGGTGTGTATTAATGTGTACAGAGCTACAGTCTACACCTGTGGTTCGGTTTTAATGGAATTTGATATGTAAGTAATTCTAATCTGTGGTATCTCCAGGGGTTTTATTTTTTTTATTTAGATTTTCAGTTTTTTCTAATTAAAAATTAACATACAAAAAATTAGGTTTTCACGGACGATTTATTATGATCTTTTTATTAACGGTCACAACCTCCAATGCTGTAAAAATTAGGGTTCATAAGTTATTGTGCTATCCATCATTGAACATCATAGTTAACAGCTATCGCTTGTCCACAATAAGGGTTGTTGTCAAGCGAATAGGAGAAAGTATGTGTCAGATTGCCGATACCGTTTATTTAATTAGGTTAGCTGTGTCACGCACCTGTATGGAGTATCAGGCTGCGACTTTTCACGCATGTAAAATCTTTGTATTCTTCTAATGGCTCTTCTGCAATGTGGCTCATCATCCCAGAAGATCTCCCGCAGCCCGAAGAGCCAGGTGGAGTAGACACATGTTACAGGGAGGGTGTTGGGAACCAGCTTAGCTTCTTGTGGAGGATCCGCCTCCCATCTACTTCTAGGAATGATCTTCACGGATATATCTGGTTTTTCTGGTTCCTTGCCAGGCCAATGACTGTAGATGTTGGGGTCCTGTGTGGAAAATTGATAAGTTTGTTGGTTGCATATGCAGTACAGTGAGGGGTGTGATCTATTGGTAAAGTGAGACTTTGGTCCCCAAGGTCCAGGTTCAAATTTCACCAATCACCAGTAGATTTGGTTTGATTATGATAACGCGACCCTCTAGTCCTAACCTAGCATAATGAGCGAAAGGAGCCTGCTAGTCTATTGGTAAAGCGAGACTTTGGTCCCCGAGGTCAATGGTTCAAATCCCGCCAATCACCAATGGGTTTTGTTAGATGATGACGACGCGATCCTCTAGGCCAAGTTAGTCTGACATGATGAGCAAAATAATTGAGGACTTGAGCATAGCATCCTGGTATGTGAATGTGGAGACATAAAAATGTAGTACAGGTAGTTATGTTGAGTTTGTCTGTCAAATATATATACATCTAGGTCTGCATAACTCATTATGAGCCTCTGATATGCGAGTAAATACTTTCAGCAGTAGTCCGGGATCTTGTACAAAGGATGGACACATGAGGGCTGCATTAGCTAGTATATAGTTTGCACGAGCTAGTCTGATGGTTCAAAATATCCATTATTATATAAAGCTATTATTATATAAAACTAGATCTAATAACCTCAAAGAGAAGTTTTGGTATCCAAGCAACTGTCTACCTTAGCAGAAGTATGTGTAAGGATTGTAAACATTTATCTAAAAGCCCGTATTTGTCTAGCGTCTTAATTTTACTGCATCAGAAGTAAAATGTTGCTAAGAATTAGTTAGTATTCTTGATTATCATGCAATAGTGGATCAACAAAATACATCCTATGTAGCCTAGTTCATAAGAAAATTCATAAATTTACTAGGCCTATAATACCACACCATACAAAAAACAACATTCTTCTGTGACTAACCAATACTCGTTTGATCTATGTAAGTTACTATTTATTTTAATTAGAAAATAATACTAACTAGATAATACTTTGCTGTATTGGTGAAAACATGCCTACTTTAAAATGTTGTATACTAGAAATACAAGAAGAGTCAATTATGCTATGGCATATTTTTAAAGACTGTATGATACTTTCGGATTCCCTCGCAGAATATAACTTATCTATCATACTACAAAATACATTAAAATGCTTCAGTTTTCTAGTGCTAGACATAGTTTACAGAAGATTAACTCAAACAAAAATACGTCAAAAAAACCCTAATGATTTTAATATACAAGTAAAAAAACACAAAAACGTCTATTAAAAATATTAAACGGTTTCAAAACCACTCCCGGTAAACAAGGTGTATGAAATGTTTAGTTAAGTGAGATATCAAGATGTATATCGATTGTTTAAAAGCCTGTCGGCGTCAATCAAGAAGTATTTGACGGGAAATTGACGGCCTATACTCACATATTTATCGGGCATTTCGACATCCATTTTGTAAAATTTGGTAACAGAAAATTCAAAACTGATAACTTTAACACTTACAATCTACTTGTAATACCACTCTTGAAACTAATTTTCAGATAAGTGTAGATACGATTTGTTTATGTCCCTTATCAACTTGGTGGGGAACTAATTAAAGATTATATAGACTATGGCTGACCTTTTTCTACTTTTCTTTGATCTTGATGTAATCTAATAGTTTAGATTATTAAGATTTACGGCAATGTTTATTTTTACAGTTTATTTACCAAAGATTAAAAACAAAAGTGGACGTCAAATTTAAATCTAACAGCAAATTTCGTATCTTAACTTTTTCGCACTGACTTATACTTTCTCACATTATCTTGTCAACAATCTTTATAAGGACAATGTATGACAATTAATTGGTAAGCTGTGGAGGTAACTATGATGTGTATAAGGTAAATAAAAAAAATTGCGATAGATTTTGAAATAGTAATCAGTAGCTTTACCACACAACCACACACACATAACATCGAAGACAACATTTTTGGGGTTTTAGGTCCCAAAAAGGATACTTCCTAAAACTCAAACTTGAAAACTTTTTGAAAAAATAAAAACTTTTTACTCACCCTATGGATATGGGTAAATAGTTATTTGTGCAACTAGTGAGCAAAGTGAGCAATTGACTCACTCGAGAGAAATACTTACTCACGAGCCGTAGGCGAGTGAGGAATGGTTTCTCGAGTGAGGCAATTGCACTTTGCACTCGAGTTCCACATTATATTTTTCCTACAGATACCATAAAACAAATAAATTGGTAAAGAAAAGTAACATATTTTTACACAGAAATGAACTTTTAATATGACATATAATGATACAACAGTACAACAGCTGACCAGCTGATTTACAGCCAGGGCTGCCAACGTATTTCGCGCGCATACGAACTTGTCTGTATGCTACGCGCTCACTATTTCGTGCCTTCACGTTGCAAATCTGGAGTGAGACAAAGTAATTAGAACTGGTGAGCGAATTGGCTTCTTTGCTTTCTCAAATCAGTGAGAGAACATGTACATTGTTAAGTAACTGTAGGAAAAAGTAAATAAGGCTCTACAAATCTGCTTAAAACACCTTTAAAACTCTAAATAATTGTACAATTTTACGTACTTCCTGTAGTCCAAAGAAGTGTCATTAATTAAAGGTAAAGAATGCATAAAGTAATTTACACTCGCTCGTTTTTGGAAACTTCTTTACTAAGGTCTTTTTTCTACAGTAAAGCATACGTATGAAACCTTTCGTTAACAGTAGTGTATCCTACAAAGAATCCCCTTTGTGTTAAATTAGTTGCAAATGACTCAGAAATAAAATTTTATAAACACAAATAAAAAAATTAAAATTCAAGGTTTTATTCTCAATAACTCAACTAATATTAGTTTTCACGCTTAAACTAACACACTTTTAAGCACATATACCAGAGTATGATACATTTTCCAAATAAACAATAATAATGACACATATATTCACACACAACCCTTGTGGTTGATTAGTACTTAAGAAAGTTACCGCGATAAAGACAGGAAGCTTAGAGGGTTAAGTGAAAGGAAATCCCTGTTGAAGCTTTGATGGATTTTGGGAAACCTGGAACAGCGAAAAGCTGATTACACTAAGCCGGGTAAGGGCTAAGGCTTCCTCGTGTGTATCCTGTAATCCTTGTTGTGTAGTTTACAAAATATTATCAAACATTTTAAAATATACATGTAAAACAAGTATACAATAAGTCTAGTTGTCATAAATTTATTCTAGTTTTATTATTGTTAAAATAGTTTTTGTTTGTGTTCAACTATATTTTAGACTATGTTCAAATATATCTGAAGTAACATAACTATCAAATAAAAGATGGTAAGTGTAAAAATAAACGTGTTTTACTAAAAAAAGTTTTGAAAAATTAAACAGCAAAGTAGTAAAGTGAGTTTTTGAGTTTTGTGAGTGAGTGTTTTCTAGCTAAAGCACTGTTATTCATACATATTATTTTTAATTTAATGACAGGTTAACAAATGTTGAATTGGGGGGATGAGGGTTTAAGTTCAAATAAATTAAATACCCATTCTCATTTTTACACCCAGAATTTACAAATTTTCATTTGTTTCATAACCATAATTTTTAACAATTCATCCTAATATAACAATTAAACTTTCTTTTCTAGAATAAAAAAAATTGACTTTGGAAATGGATTAAATCTATCTGTAACCAGTAGAATACTCAAAGAAACTAATTGTTGATTGAGCCTCTCATAACGTTTACTAATATTTAAGTTCTATAATTTAGTTTTAATTTGTATGCTTCAGATTGAAATAAGCTCCTCACCTTCAATTTGGCATGACAGAAATATCGAATATTCATAATATTTAATCTAAATGATGAACTGATTTAAAATATTGAAGAGACATGGTATTGCTCATGGTTTTAAATTAACCATACTTTTTGTTAGCACCCCAGCACTCTTACTTCACTTTCATGAAAATATGATACCCAAATGTAAAACAGGTATTAAGCTATGAAACACCAAAACTACACCCTCTTTGATTTGTCATTTTAAAGACTTGAACAGAGATGATTTTTAGCTATTTTTGTAATATATTTTTAGCTATGTTTTATATACAGGGTGAATTTTAAATGAGTTCCCCCCCTACTTTTTTCTACATTTCTTAAGATATCAACTTCGGACCACGTCAGATCATTGTAGTGTAGTAAGTACTTCATTTTGACTGGGTAAACATTTTTGGCCGCCATCTTGGATCCGCCATATTGGATACAAATGTTTTTTTTTCAAATGTAAAGGTAGGGTTGTGACCCATTGTTTCAAACTAAAATTTTACGCTGATTACAATGCCGCAATTAGTTTTTTAAAAATCTCGATCCGTTCTAAAGTTATGAGGACTTTTTATAACTTTATTTTTAGCCCATTTTAACATTGTGCATTTACAAACTAAGACCATAATCCCAAAATAGTGCTAGATAAAGATAAGTATACACCACCATTCATTGTCAACCTATTATCACTTGGCTATGACGGATTTATTTTTTTCGGCCGCCATCTTGGACCTGCCATTTTGAAATGTGATTAATTAATTTAAATATGAAGGTGGTGATGTGACCCATCATTTAAGACTACTTTTTTATGCTGAATTTAATGCCGCAATCCGTTTTGCATTTTCATATTTGTTTTTTGAAGTATTGGAAATTCAAGTAAAATAATTTTAATATTTCGTCAAGAACAAAAACGGATTGCGGCATCGAGTTCAGCATAAAAAAGTAGTTCAAAATGTTGGGTCACAACACCACCTTCATATTTAAATTAATTTATCACATTGCAAAATGGCAGATCCAAGATGGCGGGCGATAAAAATAAATCCGTCTTAACCAATTGATAATAGGTCGACAATGAATGGTGGTGTATACTTATATTTATCTAGCACTATTTTGGGATTATGGTGTTAGTTTGTAAATGCACAATGTTAAAATAGGCTAAAAAGACAGTTATAAAAAGTCCTCATAACTTTAGGACGGATCAAGATTTTTAAAAACTAATTGCGGCATTGTAATCAGCGTAAAATTCTAATTTGAAACAATGGATCACAACCCTACCTTTACATTTGAAAAAAAACTTTGTATCCAATATGGCGGACCCAAGATGGCGGCCAAAAATTTATACCCAGTCAAAACGAAGTACTTACTACACTACAATGATCTGACGTGGTCCGAAGTTGATATCTTAAGAAATGTAGAAAAAAGTAGGGGGGAACTCATTTAAAACTCACCCTGTATGTATGTACGGAATGTGTTGATGTTATTTTACCCATAAAAAATTCAAACGATCAAATTAAGACTTTTTTCAAACCCACAGTGTAACAAGTTTTCCTAAAAAGAGATACACATTTAGTCATCATCATTGTACCAAAATGTAATCGATGATGAACAATTCCATTGAAAATCACTGAAATTTATATTTCACAAAAAGTTGAGAGACTTCTTGTAGTTTCTAAATTCAATAGACAATTGAAAATAATTTTAATTTGTTTGTTTTGTTTCTTATTTTTATTCAACGCCTTTGCAAATTATTTCAATAACCTTTTGTTAATTTCAGGTAAAAATTTAACAAAATCACATACTTGAAATAATCTACGGGACCAAAAACAACACAGAATGTTTCAAAACCAGAAACCACCCTATTCACCATCACTTGTCCATACTTGTTGTAGGTGTAATTTGTCATGTCAATTATCCAATGTGACCTCGGGCGCACTATTGCAATTAACAGGGTCCAATAACTCTAATAAAAGCTAATAGACAGCAGCAATATACTTCTACCCCCGACACTTCACCCCATTCGATCCCACCCCATCAATAAACACCTGTCAAGCTGATACCCTCAAACGAGAAATGTAATTGCATTCGGAGGAATTGGCTTGATGAAGGTTTTCCGATGTTTTTTGGCGCGATTATCAGATTAGGACTCAAACGTGAAGCGATGGGTGACTGTTTTTATAGGGTTTAAAGGGGTTGAAAATAATTGGGGTTTTTGGTTGTAAAAAGGGTTTGTTTGTCTAAAAGGTTTGGCATAATCATTAACTTTAAATACTGGATTGACTTATTTTCCTACTACTGCATGGAAATTATCACATTTCCACACCTTGAAACGATCACATTTCCACACCTGGAAGCAGTACGCAAAATAGCTCATTCTCGCTAGCTAAATCAGCTGATTTCACAGTTAGTGTTTCTACACCAACCACAGCTGCGGATCAAGTCCAATAATAACCGATAACAAAATAACGTAACCTAACTAAAAAGCAAACGCAAACATTACCTAAATTAAATTTTATATCCAACAAAAAAGTATTTGTGTGTTATGATAAGTTAATTTTGGTGTTAGGAAACATCTTGTCTGTATTACGAGCACAAACAGTCATTGTGCTCTTAATAAACAAATAGGTTTTTTTTTGTTTATAGAAAATGTTGATGTGTGTTGAATACTCAAAATTACGCGTAGATTGTCCATTGAATGTTTTCCTTTTTAGTGTGAATTTTACACAATATGATACTCCCTCGGTTGTAGGCCCAATACTAGAGGGAAAGCAGTATTTCTTTATGAACCATTCTTTTCAGTCATAATCGGTTTGAAGTTAATCTGATAAACTAGAAATTATAAAGTAGCACCAAGAAATATAATTTCGTGTTAACGAACATATAACTCTTAAAATTGTCTTCAGATTGTTCATTTTTGTTAGGAAAATTTGGGCTGATTGATAAAAAACAATCATTAACTTTAAGTGTGTAATTTTTAAATTTTAAAACTAGGCTTTATAGACTTTGTATCGGCCCCAATTTTACATACAAAAATTAAATCAGTAAAAAAAACACACACATTTCAAGTACAACCACACATTGCCTCTCATTAACTTCACTCTTCAAAGTCCGTCGTCCAGAACCAACCGAAATCTAATCAAGACTGATGAAAAATCCAGTCTCTCCGCCTGGACTCGGGGGTGTCATCCATTGATCAGGGGTTGATCTAATTTACCCGACCCTCGACCCCCTGATTGTAACGCTGAGCGCGTCGCTGGGGTGGCTTTATTGGCCTCTGTCTGTTTGTAACTGATGATCCTTGACTTGGTACAATAACGTCTGGACTGAGTCATAGGGGTTGAAACTTTATGTGGGTTAAACTGTCAATATTTGATGTCAAATGTGTGTGTGTCCTTGTTATTGAACTGTACTGATTAATGTTCATTTGGCTTCTGTGTGTATGAATGTTGTCCTAAACTTCCTTGAAGGGCTAGTGGTGTTTATTTTATTTTTATAAATGGAGAAAATGTTATTTGTAAAGTTGAATAATCATTCCATCTATTTAACTTACAAAAGATTTATGTATTATGTTTCACGGATAAGTTACTACTAAAAATATCAGTTGTGTTATATTATTATCATTTGAGATGGGGACGCCCCCTAGGTTTTTGTACCCAAATATTACTGAATGATAGGTGTAAAATGGAGGGAAATATATTGTGTAGCCTTGATACTGACTACTAGCTGTTTCTTTTGCAAAGAACGTCCATTAAATATTTCCAATCCAAAATTTCAAACGTGATATGGTGAATTTAATGAAAAAGATGATTGTTTGTAGCTTTAATTCTATACATGATAATGAGTCATGTTTTAATATTTTTCATCAACATCTTGGTCATATCACCAGAGAAGCATTCTTTGATATACACTTCTCGTTTTATTTGCTTGTAATAATAAAATGTATTATGAAAAAAGTGAAAATGGTAATTATCGAAACTTTCCGTACCGTACTTGCATTGGATAGAAACATAAACAAACCTTAATTTAATCTTCATCTTATCACGTTACACTAAATTCAGTACAACATTTAAATACTTGGTCCTAGGTAGGGCTCAAATAATGCCAATATATGTGTTTATTTCAAGGGATTTTTATAGGCCTACCTGTTATAGGAAAATCTGAAAATTTGCAGATTATTCAACTAGTGGCATCTCCGAAAAGACCATCTGTTGCAAGATTTTTATTTCTGTATGAACATCATCAAAGTTCATAAACGAATTAAATTTTAACCTTTTTCAATATTATGTGCCATAATACAATGATAATAGTATCAACTGCAGATGCGGGAGGCTATCATGCGATGTTATGAGTCCTTAAGTCGTTGATCCATCTAGAAAAGTAGCTCCCTCATAACGTTTGCTGTTTATTGGCACAAAAACTATTCATTAGTTTACTACCTCAGAAATGGTTTCCAAACACAATACCATAATTAACAAATCCGCATTGTAATTCAACGGCAGTTTCTGCCAACTAGAAGCTACACTAATCCCAAAATGAATCGAATTCATCAACGTCCTCACATAAACGAAGGGAACGTGTGGATCCCATCCTGGGGCGGATAAGGGACAAAAGTAGCGCAGCACAGGGTGCGTCATGAATTTCAGATATCACATTACAAAAAGATGTAAGCCGCTGTTAGCTCAAGGTTCGCAATGCAAGGGAACTCGCTCACCTGCGATCGGTCGGCTCAGCAAACGAAGGAGAGGAAAAGGATTTGTTTGAGTAGGACTTCCAGGTGTCGCCGTCCTGAACAAACAATCCTGCATCCTTTGTAGCAATCAGTCTTGCGTCCTTTGTCGCAATCAGCTGCGAAACTCACAGGATTGCTTGCGCACTTTGAAACCAACGGTAAATTGGTATAGAAGTAACTGTTGTTTAAGGTTTTTTGTTAATTTTTATAGATAATAGGTGTAATTTTACAAAGTTTTGTGATGGTTTGAACTACGTTTAAAATTACTTTTGCAGCTCAGGAATATAAAAAAATGTTTGAGAATGTAATTGTGTAAAAAGATATGAAAATGTTACACTTACAATAGTTCAAAAGTTTACTCTTTGAATAAAAAAAAACAAAAAAAAACAATGTATTCTGTACGATAAAAATAAACATATCGTTATACTGTATATTAGTACGTTTCAGGATAACACAGTTTCAATAAAAGTACTGTTTTAATTAACATCAATACTGAAAAAAAAAACGAATGCTATAGGAGATTCTGAATTATTACATACTTTCGATTAAAATATTGATTACCGTGCTAACTTTATAGTACGAACAAATTTACACACAAAAAATTAAATTATTAAGTGTTATTAAAGGTTACGGTATGTGGTTTATATTTTTCTCATAACATATACTTACTACTTTCCAACTGTGATTCATTACCCAGAGCTTTTAGTAGATGCATACTAGAATGTATACTGTATATATATAGAATGTATAGGATGTATACTAATAGATGTACACATAAATGTTGATACAGATTTTTCCAGTTTCATTCTCATTACGTTTACTATGACTGAAAGCAAACAGTACGTAAATTTATAGTTATTCTGACAAAAATGTAAAAAATGCAAGAAAATAAAAAAAATCTAAACTTTACTTTTCTTATCACTTAAAAAAACGTAACGTATAACCATGACGCAAAAAATCCCTCATTACGTCATTACCCAATATGGCACTCACCCTAAAGACCTAGTTATTACTAGCATGGCGAAATAAAGGGGTGTAAATAATACTGTACGAAGCCCTGTCGCAATATTTGACATGAAAACCACCCTCAACCTGTGCAGTGCTGCGGTCTGGTGAGAATATTTTGTAACTAACGCTCCCTCCTATACGCGCACCCCCACCCTTGCCATCAGAAAATACTTCAGTCGCTTACCGGCCGCGTCAGAGTGCGGTAGTGGTTATCATTCGATCATCTAATGTGCTTAAAAGATCGCGGAACGTAAATAAAGTGTCAGAAAACATTTTGTGTCGTGTTACGCCTGTTGTGAGTCGGCAAATATGATGTGGAATAGATAGAGAAATGAGTGCTTGGTGGATTTGTTTGTTGGTTGTTTTTATTTCATCGGTGAACAGCAAGTTTGATTTGGAAACTCCGATCAGGCTTGCCCATTGCAGAGCCAGCTGTTTGTTTAAGGTAATTTAATATTGGAATTAATAATTGTATTTTAGTATTGCCAGTATCAATAATACTTGGATAAAGTAATGTTTACATGCATATGAGTGATTGTAGTTTTAATGCTACTCTTGCAAATGCGAAATATTTAATTTAAATTAAAAACTCAATTGAAGGTTGAAGAACGGATTTTATTATATCGTAGAGTAATAAGTTGTTTATTTAAACTCTTTGATAAAGTACAAGTATATTTGAGCTGTTTAATATAAAAATATTTCAAATATTATATTTGAATAAAATAAAGTTCAATTAAGTTTACTAATCTAAAATCAGTTATCACATTAAAAGCACATATTGTACTTTTGTATTGTCATTTGGATTAAGATTCATTAGATTTATCAGCTTATATAGACTCAATTATTATAAGGAACTAACTAAGTTCATATTTTTTTGTTCTTGTAAAAAATGTAATTTTGTACCTAATATAAAACAATTGGTCGTGTTCCCAAAACAACTTTGCTTACAAACTAATTAACTTAGACAGAGAAACAATGTATGGAAATAACGCAACAATACGATAATTGTTGTCCAAGTAGAAATATTTGTAGCCTAAATTGAATTAGGCCTAGGTAATGTTTATGGATATCATTCCTAACAATTTAGACACGAGTTATTAGGATATTATAAAACAATATAATACAATAAAACAACATAATATTATAATATAAAGTAAAATATCAAAGCTAGTGCTTCCAATCATATTGTATTGTGCTGCATTCTAATTCAGATAAAAATACGTACACAACACACGTAAAACTGTTTTATTGAAGTAAAAAGTTATTTTCATATGTCGTCTGGAATTGTTTTGAATCTACAAATTAACATAAGTCAAGAACAATGTTCCCACATTGTTTTCAAGTTCAAAACTTTCCTCCTACGTATACGGCAAGATAAAATTCCAAAAATAAGTTTGATCGTCTTTTAAGGGAAACCATGATTAGGAAAACTCTGATAGTTTTGTTTTTAACATGTCCCTAAACTAATTTAGGAAAATAACATTACCTAAATTTATTTCAATAAGGGGTTTAAAATAAATCATTAGGATTGTTAATTTACTTAATTCCTACTTGCTTGGTTGGAATATGGTGGATCTTAGAGGAATGATCCTTTCAACAAAAAATGATAATAAAAAACGTATGTAACTCTATTTTAAAAGAATAACGTTTATGTTTTTTTTATGTTTCCAGATGAAGAATACGCCAGTTGACGATGCCTCTTGCCAAAAATCAGCTTTTTGTGCACAGGTAAAACCATTATTTCTTTTAAATTTACATGTTGTCGTAAATCAATAAATAGTATAATAAACAATTTTTATAACTAACGTTTTAGATACATCAGGCATTCAGAAAAAAATTTAAGCATACATGTTCAGTAAAAAAAAGGAAGATGTAATCTATAAACCCGTAAAAGGGTTAGAAAAGCTTGAGATTTCTCTAGGGGATGTTAAGTGGTTTATGGTTCGTGTATTGAAACTGAATATAACAGTTTTGTACATGGAATATGATTATCTTATAAAGATGCGTTTCAAAAGTTAGATTACAATGAGTACGTTCAAATCTCTTTATGCTTTTGTTATTGTTATATTAATTGTATATTTATTGCATAGTTACTGTTACTTTATCACTTTTGTGATCTATTAGGAACTAACATGTCAATATATGTGAATTAGTTGTAAAATGGTGTAACCATTGAGAAGAAATAAATAAGTCACGCTCACACTATGGTTTTTTTAATAAAGCAAAATTTAAAAACTATAATAATTTTATCTTTTAAGTGCTCTCGCTCTAAAGGAACTCCTTTTTTGGGAATTTTCAGTTTTAACTACTGAACTTAATTGGGAGATTCGTTCATTATTAATTCCTTAAGTATATTGATCACCATAATCTATTTTTTAAATTATATTCAATTCGATTGCCTCATCCTAAAATAAGTTGAACAGAAATCAAATTTGAGCTTAACTTTTAAGTTCTATCTCGTTGGAGACTGCTAAAACAGTTTTTAAGTCTCGTATTACATAAAGACTTTATAAAAACCCATTTGTTTAGAACCGCTCATTACACTACTATAAGTAAAAAATAAGTGTACAGTAGGTTTATAAATCATTCAAAATGTTAAAGTTTTCAACTATGTTGCTTTTACCTTTTCTTTTTAATCGATAAACTGTCACACAAATTTCTTACTTCAATAACATTATTTTGTCAATAGTTTAACTACTACAAAGACACTGATAAAAAAACTGCAAATTTAGTTTTAGAGAACTAAATATTGACACATTCGCAATTCGATAAAAACATAGAGGGCTCATAAGGTATAGTAATAATATAAAACCATCCACCCTCACCTTTGGGACCCCCTCTATTGCAGCAAATAGTCGGTAAGAATATTAATAGATTGTGGTAGGGTTCAAATGGGTTTGGAAAATTTGAATCTCTGAAGATTAAAAGCAATTCATTCTACAGATTAAAAAATGGTATATTTCCATCAACTAAATAACACCACTCATCACACATATTGAGAAATAGCAAGAAGAAAATTATTTATTACATGCATTTTTGAAGAAATCTTTAAAGCATTTGTATGTCTTTTGATTTATGTAAAAATCCATCCATAAGAGTATTCGTATTCAAAGTAGTTCTAAATAACGGAGAAAAGAGTAAAATCTCATGCGTTTGTTCCTCATTTGGCAATGCTGGGTAGTATATCAAGGCTAAAAGATTTCACTCTGTTTTAGTGTTGGAAATCTTGCAGCATCCTACAAACAACCTCCTTAAGAGACCTGCACTGCAGAAGAAAACAATGTGTAAGTATATGTTGATAGTGTACAAAAGTTTGCTATGCAACATCTCCACCGTAAGAAGCTGTCAGATAAAATTTATGACTTCTATTCAATTTGTTGAGTATAGACTACGGACCTACTGATGGTGTAGGTTAGTCGAGCACAATCATACGTCATAGTAATCAACGTTAGTAAATTAACCTCTAACTTGGAAAAAATTTGTTGTATGTGTTCCGTTTGAACATTATTCAATTTACTTCAATGAAGCACTTTTATATATATTTGAAATACAATTATGTTTCTATTATAATGCATTTGACAAACGTAAAGTTTAAACTGGAGATGATATTTTAGGATATTAGGCTATATGGATGTTATAGGACCCTTTTCCAAAAAATATCCAACAAATTTTAAGTTACCTACCACCATACTTTTAGTTATCCCACTTGCAGCGCCTTATCAGTTGTCATTTATGGTGTGCCCTCAAGCCTAAAAAAATATTGCCATAGAGTAGTAAACTAAATTAAATCATTCATCAGCCTTAAGCGTTTTTCATATTTTAGTTTGGTCCTGATTTCTTGAGGTTACTGATTGTTTTAATCATTACAATAACCTCAAATCCGTTGATAACCTCAGAAAAAAGTTTTAGTAAGAGATCGAGTCTTCTGTCAGCTAGATAAGAAAATCCCCATTAAAACAAAACCATTGATTTCACAGGACTAGGGAATAGCGGTTACATATAAGAAGGTCTTGATAACCTTTAGGACATAACATAGACAACCTGACTGGTAGAGTGTTGGAATTCCCCACAACAGACTTCACATTCAAAGTGCATTCAAGGGTGGTTGGTCTTCAGGTATGCACATTGCACAGTTTGTCTCTTACAGTGACTCTATAAACCCTCTTATCTACCAGTGGCCCGGCCGAGTGTAGCGACTCTACCATATTTCCTTTAGTATATATGGTTATGACTGTCAGACTTGACAATCCTCTGTGTATTTCCAGGGTCCAGGATGTCTAGAAGCGTGTAAGTTCCACTCTCCACCTCCCAGACCTGTCTCTACAGCGCCGCTGGAGGAGATGCTGGTAGTCAACCAGTCCAGAGTGTCATGGCCGCCTACCTCAGGTCCTGTCATATATGTGGTGATGACTGACGGGACTCAGCTGTGTCAGACACTTCAATCCTCTGTCTCTCTCCCACCCTCTGTAGACCCCACCACAGTGCGAGTGTTGGTGGTGGACTGGCGAGGGTTGGTCAAGGTGTTCTGCCCTGTAGAAGAGTCTCCTATAGACCAGACGCTGCACATACTTCGTAGTCTGGGGATGGAAGAAGAAATTCACGAAGCTCACATTGATTTGGACAATGAAACGTACCTGGAGGATTCAACAAAACAAGTATGTAGCTATGTGAAAAGACAACATTAACATTTTATTGTCACTAGCGTAAAAATCATCACATTCATTTGCAATGATTGTTGATAGTTAAAGTATACTATGCACTATAATCTTGATTGTAATCGTGATGGTCGACTCCTAAAACTTGAATGCATTGAAGGATCCACTGGGATATACTTGCAAGACATTTTCTTATTTTTCAACATCTTATGTTTGTGTTTCAGATCAGAATAGACAGTTCCTGGGGAATAAGTTTACTTTCTCTACATCCTGAGCCATCATTGGTGCTGGCACAAATCAGCTGGAAGCCATATCACAACCTCCTGAACATTTCTTATCTAGTCAGCTGGACTGCAGAGGACAATGTGGTCAGAGGGAACATGCTTACCAACACGTCCATAGTCACTCTGTCATTATGGCCTGACACTACTTATACTATACAGGTAAATTGCATGTACTAACAATTAATGTATTAACTTTAGTAGGGACATTGGCATCAGATTAGAAGGCACAGTACACAGTCTATGAAGAATTGGTATATGTAACTCTATAAGAATTAATTTATGATTTTCAGGACCATGGTGAAATACTGTACCATATAGTTATTTTTATTTAAATAGCAACTTGCTACATTAATAATAAATTTACTGTAACTAATATGGCCTGTAAAACTTTACAACGACTCCAAGAATATTTATATCGAGTAGAAAGTCGTGCTAAATTGTATTATTTGAGTAGTTAAACAAATTTTTTATTTTTATTTTTGTTGGTTTTGGACTTTGTCTTTTACAAAATAAGGAACAAAACTGTGATGTAAAATGTTTGATCCAAACGATAAAAGAATGTTCAAGTAGATGCTTCTAGAGGTTGGAAGGATAGCCTTTTACCATCTAAATAAAAATATATATATATTCTATATACGTATCCATGTAAAAAAAAAAACTCTAAAAATGCAATTCCTAATAAATAATAACATTCCTTATGAAATCAATAACAATAAGGATTTTCAGGTAGCATTATTCAGTCTGGAGTTCCCAGTCGTCCAGAGCCAACCAATGGTCCTAGACACTCGTCAAGAACACAATACTAGTCAACCTTCCACTGAGTCCCACGGCCATATGGATGACCCCCACCCCTACACCGGGGTCCACAGGGAACGCCACAGGGACAGAGGGGATGAAGGGGTTGGCACAGGAGAGGAGTTGGCCGCTGGAGTTTCTGCAGCCGTCCTTGTATTCTTGGGAGTTGTTCTCACAGCTACCTGGAGGTGGCGACACCGCCTTTACTTGCCACACAACAAACTCCTGGATGAGGAGTCAGGTGCTCCAAATCTTTATCGAGGTAAAGTTATTCACGTTGAAGTAAACAATATCATAATAATGAAAATGCATTAGGACAATGCCAGAGAGTGCAAATATTTGTACAATTTAGTCTATTTTGCTGTGGTTGATAAGGTTATTATGCAAAAACATGAAGAAGGTAAAGCAACAGTTGCAGAAATTGAATAACAATTTATGTCAATCGTTACCTCATCAGGGGCTCATTTTTTGCATACCTTGATAGGTTTCAAACTGTGGTTTTTGTGGATGTTTGAATACGTGGTTAAAATAAACTAAAACTGTAAAATATTTTTTGATTCTTTGAATCATTCACGTCACAAGATTTAAAAAATAATATATAAGAGATTTAAGCATAATTATTTGAACATAGCATTTACCCTTGCAAAAAAAGTTTGAGGTTAAAATGTCTATAACATTTTGCTCTGTTTAAGCTCCTTTACATTTTTTAGTTGTAAGATGTAATTTATAAGGTTGTTCGTCAAAATTAAAACCTGTGAAATAAGCTCAAGTACGTCACCGATTCTGTTAACAGTTCTTTGTAAATGATCCACACTCCACTAAACTAAATATAATTTATGCACATTACGTATGCAAACATTATGCACTATCCACACATTAAAAAATAATACAGCTGTATATACCTGATTAATTCAACTCTACCAAATGATATTTAGTAAGCAAATATTCCTAATACAATATATTCCTGGTAGTTTAAATTATAATTTAATAAAATTTGTGTTTGGTAGAAAGGATAATCTATAGCGAATTCTTATAAAATAAAATCCTTATCTAATCCACACGTGTTTTCACAGCTTCCAAAAAAAACCTTTGTACAGCATCACTATGAAAAACACGAATATAGTTAAATTTGGTAATGTAAGAAAAAAATAATGTTAAAATGTAATGTTACAGTATTTCCTCCAGTAATGCGATTAATGGGAGATTCTGGTCGATCTTCGGACCTGTTTTCTTCTCAAGACAACCTCCTACAACACCAGTAGTGTAAAACTAGTCAAATTTAGACATTAATAAAATATAATAAACATTTTTAAAATATTGTATAATTTTTTTTAATTTTTACCAGTTTGTGTTTTGAACGAGGTGTTTAATGAAAGTTAAACATTTAATATTTATTATAATATTTGATTTAGGTACCTTATTTATTTTTAAATCATTATAAACATAATTGTTTCTGGAATATATATTGTAAAAGTCTTAAACTATTTTTTTAAGTATCAAGAACCAGTCCTAAAATTTTTGGTCAGCAATTGTCAGTTAATTAGCATGTTTGACTCCCAAAATGTAGTACTTGACTGAAATGATATAATTGATCTCTGTACTTAATGTATACTATTTTTACAAAGGTTCCTGTGAAAATGTTACTATAGTTAAAATTATATGAATATTAAACATACCTGTAAACATTTTCTGTAAATAGATAAAATAGTATCAATCACAGATCCAACCCGAACTACAAATGTCCGATTTTAACATATAGTAGTGAACATTATTTTTTAGGATTTTACAATTTCTATCTAGTCAATAAGTTAAAGAAATGTCCACTATAAATTACATTATAGGTGATAAGTTGTCACAAAAAAGACGCTGATCCATTTGTATATTTTGTACCTATGTAATGATGTAACCTGTGTTTGTAAATAAATAATTTGTTATATTGTCGTTCATTTGAGTTTTGTATTCTGTATTGGCAATTTGATATTTCGCTGGAATGAGAATATTCCATTCCGAGAATGCTACCATTCCGGAGTAGGAAAGCGGAATGACTTCATTTTCATATCAGGGTGGGGAAGGTTAGGCTGACATTATCAGGGCTGACGAGAAACCAATACCTCGAATCATCACATTAGCATTTAAAGTAAGTCTTCTCCATCACTGGCGTCCGTTCTCTCGTTCTTTCTCCTTCTATCACTCTTCCTGTTATAATTATAATAGTAAATAATAAATATGCTTTTGTATGTCTTGCGTTCAACTTTAAGTGTCCTTTGAGCCTGGATGAAATAACTCATAAAACAATATAAAACAGTAGGCAGAACATTTCTAACCTCACAGTGCACTTGACATTTAAATTAAAAAACGTTTTGGGGTTTGAAAAAATATTTTTGGATGTACACTTCAATAGCTGTTTGAAATAATCCAAGACGGCCGCTAGCCTCCAAGAACTGGGGAAGCTAAAACACATTGCAGTAAGACAACAACTATTAGGATAGCTGAAATATATATATTTTTTTTAATTATTCCATAGCAATCTTATTTATGAAAACCTGAAGAGGTTTTCTCAGAGATTCTGAATAAACCACAAAAAGGGTTTTCATGACTACTTTTGCAAGAGTAAGACAATTTTGAGAGAATAGTTGAAAAAATTAATAGTTAAAAAATGCAGTTGAAAACAAAATTATAATTTCTAAGGATTATTTTAAAATTTAAATTAAGAATTAAAAATATCAGCTCAATTAGTTTTATAGAACGAGACTTATTATTAGCGAGAGAGCAAATTTCATTTTAGTAGTATATTTAAAATCATGGGATGATGTTTATTTATTTCAGATAGAGGATTTTCAGAGCCAAATTGGTTCCTCTTCTCGTTGCAAAGCTTTATGACGGTAATAAGCAGCATACAAATAGGTATATCCCAATCTCGAACGAAGGAATGCTACTCTAATCTCAATTACGGGACTTTGTTCTTATCAAAACAATTGGTTTTCTTTAGTAGATGAAAGAGATATTGTCAAACACTTTATGGAGAAGTGGTCCAAACCCATAGTTTTTTTATGTGCCGGGAATCGAACCCGTTCCCTTCCGCACCGAAGCCCGAGACGCTAAGATTTTAATAGTTGTAGTATTTTGATTGAAGACACAGATTCAAGACATTCAAGACATAACCATACAACGGTAAATATATTATACAATGTAGAGCGGCTGTGTATCACCCATGATAAACTATAAAAATACATTTTGAGAGATATACAGGAGCTCTGAGGCTGAAGTCACGTAGTTGTACGTAATTTATTGTTGCACCTGCTATTCTTTGTCGAATCTTTGTTTTCATCTTTGGTTTACTTCGTGTTTTATCGTGGAGAGTTTCCATGATTTAGGCTTCGTGTTTTGGAAAGATATGATTTAAGAGACTTCCTAGAGCTCTTTGAGTATCAATGTTTATTTAGTACAACATATTATAATTGCTGAGTTTACTTTCTTTTGCCGTACTCATTTTAGTTTTACCGCACTCAATTTTTTGCCATACTCCAATATTCCGACCAAACAACACAAAACTGTGTCCTTTTATTAGGCACGTAATGCGTGTAAGATTAAAAATAAGTTGGCAATACTCAAAGATACCACGACTACGATCAGCTGGTGCAGCGTTTCCAATTTCGTTCAAATGTTTGGATTTCCTAACCTTTCAACATGTTTTAAAGTGTTTGAAATACTAATTATTTATATGCTTTATGTAACTGTAGGGAAAATATTATGTGTGATGCGAGTGCAAAGTGTCACTTCGCACACTAGTTACACTAATAACTATTTCAATTAAGTACAGCTCTGAAAAATAAGTTTTGTTTTAATTTAAAGTAGTAACAAATATTTTTAGAAAAATATTGTGCCACTTTTCCTGGAGGGGTTCTCCAATACAAAATAAACACATTTCTCCTTAGAGACAGAAATTTTTTTATGTTTTCTAGATTTGTAGGTACCGAGCCACTGCGTCAGGGTGATACTAATAGCTAAAAGCCATTTGCTCTTGCTGGGATTCAAAACCTGATCTATATGAAAAAAGCTCTTCACTTAAACCGTTAGACCAACTGCGCCCACGCTGTAAAAAGTACATATTAGCCAGAGTTTAGGAAATTGGCTGAACATTATAAACTCTGCAAAACTCAAAATTGACGAATGGTTCGAAAAAGGACGAGATACTATTTCGCTCAGACAAAACTCGGTTGCCAGGTGGTTTTCGTGAACTTGATACTTTTCAAGAAAGAATCCTTTGCGATCGACAACTGTCAGTGTAAGAGATATTTTCCAAACGAATTTGCCACATGACAGAAACTAAGGGTTCCTAAATGGCTGAGCCTCTCATCATAGGCGCCAAATATGCCTATGTTAAAAACCTAAAGGACAATCATCCCCAGAAGAACCGTAGACATTATTGTACTTTTTGAAGAGGTTTACTATGGCTAAAGCTTAAATTTGTGATGATGGATTTGTTGACAACCCAACATTTTCTAAGACTCACTATAGATATCATACCAACACCAAAACATCATCTAAGTGTTTCACATAACTTTTTCCGGTTCGATATAATATTTTTTTTTTGTGAATCAAACACTGCCGGTTTGATAACATGATAACTATTAAGATTATTAATTAGGATCCGAAAAACTTTTTAAGTTAATTAAAACATTACATTTGGATAATAAGTTACTAGCGTTACTGCTTATAAAAACTGCTCGTTATAATATAACCTGTTTAGAAGGACGACATGTAACCACTTTCCAGTTTGACTGAAGTGCGAGGGAACTGGTTCAATCCCCGTCAATACTCGTAAAAACAGCTATGATGCTATTTTACACAGTTACTAATATTCTATTTTATTTTATATAACTAATAACACATAAATGAGTATACTTTTAATCAGTTAAAGGAGCTTGTTTATAAAAAAAACCACTCCTCTTTGACAGTGACGATCTACTTTAAATGCTAATGTTGATTTGCGGTATTGGTTTGTCGTCAGCCCCTGATAATGTCAAGCTAACCTTCCCCACCCATCGAAGAATCGCTGAAATTCCGCATTCTTTGAGCCCCTCGTTTCTCAAATTTATCTTTAATGATTTATGATTCAAAACTAAATTTCAACTTTTACTGAAATCTATAAAAAGGAAACTAGTTGGTTAACAATTTGAGTGAAATATCTTCCCCTAGTAATATTTTATTTAGTTTTATTTACACTAAACACACTCTAATCCCAATTTCTTTACTACATATTTAATTTTATAACTAATTTTATGCCAATTGTTGTGTAGCTCTTAAATGTATATAGGTTAAGAGAAAAATTAAATATCAATTCTGGATTTTCAATTTATTCAACAATACAATGATAAAAATTAAGAAACTGTATTTGATTACTTTATTATACTTTATTAACCTTATTGTTGACATACGAATGTCTATTCTCTAATAATAATGGAAAATGTGAACGATTGAATATTTATAAGAGTATCAAACAGCATGAAGTAAAATTAATGTTGGTGGAAAGCTTAAAGGGCCAATAATTCAACTAAAGAATTAACAAGCAATTCTACTAAGCAATTTTTTTAGAAACTAAACTTCCAAATGTGATTTGTAAATAAGAATTGAACACAAAGTGATAGTTGACAAACCATTGGGTTATTAACAATTGTAATGTTTAGCAGAAGCCATTCAAGAAGTGTCAACAGGATTGGTGTTTAATCCTGTTAGAGTTTCAGTCTCCAAATGTCTAGTATAATGCTCATGTAGACTATCTTATAAGGGTTCCGGACAGTCAATGTTGTAACATTAACATGTTAACTCATTCCTTTACAAAACGCTAAATTTTAAATTGTGTGTTTTTCTCTGATAGCTGTTTGGTCTTTTGAAGCACATATTGACACCTGTATCGAAACATGTCTCAATTTAATAATACTGCAAAACAAAACAATCAGTTGAAAAATAAGATGTTTTGGATGAAATTGAGAATAAATACTAGGTGGCAGCTAGACCAAGAAATTCTTTACTGATTATTTCTGATGATGTTTTCAAATACAGACCGGTTATGTAAGTATAGCCTGTGACTACGGTTCCAAAGAGATTTATTCTTTTATTTGGACACTAAATGTATTGTAATTCTATATAGGCTAAAACTGAAACCTGAGCTTTTATAAACAGCTGTTTATGTCATGAATGAACCCCCATGGCTCATCCCATTCTAATGCCGATGACAGCTTATTTATTAGTTTGAGATATAAGTGTCAGTATATAAAATCAATATAATCCTCAATGGGTATATCCCATCCTGGAGAGTCAGAGGAAGACATTTTGACGATATTTTCCCTCCTC